TGGCAACGTCGGTCGCAGAGAACTCTAGCGTATCAAGGGCATTGTCGATAGGTGGCCCTCGGAGGACCTGACTCGTAGAAGAAGGATCATCCTCACCCCATAAAGAATAAACCATGCGCAGGTGACACACGGACACTTACTTTTGGAGCAAAGCCATGTGTTCTGATTGAAGGGTGCAATTCCTTGGCTCCATACAGACAGAGTGTATGAATGCCACCCGATATGAGAACACTTGAGCGGCAACGAGTTTTTGGGCCCTGGTTCCGATTGTTTTATTGCGTATAGGCATGGTAGTTTGGTAGCACTAGCGTGTGCAGAGAGTATTTATTAGCGTGAATGTGTAGTGTGAGAGGGCCGATGGCGGAATAGAGAGTACACATCGACCCTCGATTAGGTTAGTTGTATAATAGGTGGTAAAGGAGTAATTTCAAGTATTACATTACCCCAACAGAGTGAATGGTATGTAAATAAGTAAAAGAGTATAGGGTTATCCGCAAAATAATGCAGGTTTCATGTTTTCTTTCAATTAACCCTCTATATAATAAATTATTTACGTTTGATGGATTATCCTTTCGTGTGAATGTCAACACTTTTTAATCCTCTCCAAAAAAAAAAAAAAAAAAAAATGTTTGTTTACCTTGGTAGCATTTCATTACTTGGGAATAATACAGTCTTTACGAATTACGCGTGATTTTCTCGTAATTTCGTATTACAAGTTTAAACTCGATCGGAACCCAAATGGTCAGAACATTAATGAAGTATGGGGCGATGGCACGTAAGTAAGAGCACCGTTCAGAGATGGTTTAAAAAATTTCGAGAGGAAGACTTTAGCCTTGAAGACAAAGAAGGTCGTCGAAGGATTTCTTCCCTAGGTGATGATGTTCTGCGACTTTGGTCGAAGAAAAGCCTAAAACAACTGTTGGAAAACGTGCACAGAATCTTGCAGTTAGCAAATAGACCGTCGCTGACCACTTTAAGGCAATTGGAAAGGTGAAAAATGCCTAAAGTTGGATTCCTCATGCATTAAACGAGCTTCTTTGCCGAACCTTTTCTGGGTTGAATTGTGACAAAGTGATGAAAATTGGATTCTGTACGATAACAGCAGACGTTCTGGACAGTGGTTTGGCAAAGAACAAGCAGCACCACATTTTCCAAAGCCACCATCAAAAAAACCGGTGAAAGAGACTCTTTGGTGGGCTTCATTTGGGCTGAGTTACTACAGCTTCTTGAATCCTGGCGAAACGATCAATGCCAAAATGTATTGCTCTCAAATTGAAGCAATGCACCAGAAATTGTCATTATTGACGCCGTCTTTGTTCAATTGTAAAAGGCCGAGTTAAAAAAACTTGGATTTTGGTTACGAAGTTCTACCTCACCCTCCCTATTCTCCAGACATCTCGCCTACCGACTACCATTTTTCAGACACCTCGATGTTTTACAACATAAAAAATTTATTGATCAAAAGTTGTTAGAAAATACGTTTACTGAATTTTTTAATAATAAGACTCAAAATTATAGTCAAAGGGTATCGAGAAGTTCCATCACGTTGGGAGATGTGTGCTGAGAGTGATGGAGGGTATTTTAATTAATAAAAAAATGTTTAAAATCATTTATATAATTGTTTTTATTTTATAACCATAAGCATGCATTATTTTCTAGGCCATATTATAGAAGAACTGATTGCGTTGAGGGTTGAAATGACCTAGCTGTTGATACCTAGGCAGCTAGACGGATAATACCGAGGTCTGACCACAGTCTGCCAACACTCGGGGGTGGGTGATTTTCGACGAATTTATTGAAAATTACAAAACTTGGAATTGCCAGTGTACTGCGAGAAGTGATGGACTCAACTCTGTACATGTGCATATGTATGTACATGTGTGTGCAGATTTATTCTTAAATAAATCAGTAATCAGTAATTACGACCAGTCTTTAAATTTTCTCCACTGTATTTGGTCAATTTGTCTGCTGGGTTGATGCCTTGGCAAAGGCGGCTGCTCTATCGGGAAACGACATCAAAGAGATCTCAGCCTGGGACATTGTATCGCATAATAGAGTCTTATTACGCAAGAAATGGCAAAGCGAGTACAAATAATCATCCAAAAGCAAAGGCATCTGGTACTCTGCCTCCCAACTAAACATCCAGTCTAAACCGTGGATTTCAAACGTCAAAAGAAATAGAAAATTCTTTACCACTATATGTAGACTGAGGTTCAACCACAATAGACTCCCATCACACCTCCATAGGATAGGAATTACACAAACAAGCAAATGCTCATGCGACGATACCTCAACAGCGGACGCAAACCACATCATACTGGGATGCCCACTGAAGACTACCAGAAGAGAACATATTTTTAAAGCGCTCAAGAAATATAAAATCCCACTCCCCACCTCGGTAAACTTAATTCTAAACTATACAAACTTTATTGAAATACTAGATACCATATACAAATTCATCACCGATAACGACATAGATATTTAAGATATATAACCATCCTTGAGGCATGTTGGCATCCGTGAGGGGGGCCACGCGGGGACGGTTCGGCTGGGGACCGTTGGGGGACATTATGCTCCGGACTGGGTGATGGTGTTGGACTTTTCCAAGGGTAGCTTTACCATGTAAGGTTTTTATCCACCACCATCGGGAGCAGTTTGTTATGTTGAGAATCTCCCCATTACAAATGGAGAGTCCAGGTGTAGATGGCTAGATGATTAGTTCAAGGCAAAAAAAAATTGGTAAATAAATATTAAACTTTCATAGCTGAAAAAAGCTAAATTTGCCTTGGAACTAATACTTATTTGTTATTTTCCACTCACAATTTTATTTTATCTGCCAGCTTATTTATTTTTCAACGATTCATTTATTTAAATATATTATCAATTTTATATATTTTTCTTACTACATTTCCTTTTCTTTGTATCATTGTTTTAAACAGTCTCTGAGTGTGTAAATCTGTAAATAACAGAATACTTCAGTTTGAAGTTAGATCCATCAACCACGTTTTTACTCACATAATCAAATAATCTGGATCTCGGTATGGCCTGGATAGAAAAGATTAAATTCAATTCAATTCAACTGACATCTGCCAAGCTTTTGACCTATTTAAAGGTCATCATCAGGGCAAAACAATCTTAAAGGTGTCTACAAATTGGCATAATTAAGTTTTAATAGATGGTTTCAAATTTCTTTGAAAACCGTCACATTCCCAATATTGCCAAGGGCTGTAACATTACTCAATACAGTACGAAGATCCGTATGCAATTAAAAATATTTATAACCCTGAGATATTGGATCAGCGATGTGTGCCTGCAGTCTTAGTTCTTTGCAGCCTGTTATTATGTGCTCTACCGTGATAAGCTCTCGACATAACAGGCACCTATGTGATTTCACCCCCATTCGAAGGTGTCTGTGTGTGATCTTATGACCTTGTGCAACCTGGTATGACCTTTTCTCTTCTGACCCATCCTCCAAAGGGCCAGAGACCGAAGTCTTTTTAGACATTTGTATAATTGTCAAATTGTAAGATGTTTCTTTCGTTACAACAGAATCTCCATTCTTTTTTTTTTTTTTTCATTTGTTAGATAAAGTTCTAACAAAGGGGATATTCAGAAGATATATTCCTCAAAAACTTAATGAAGGTGTTGAGTGTTACATTTCTAATTGGCTTTATGTGTGATAATTATTAGCCACTTTACAAAACTTAACTTTTTTCTGGAAATATATTAAAAAGGGTAAAAGATTTACTATTATTTCATATATTTATTGAATTCAATACTAAATTATAAAAATGAATGTTTTTTTTTTTTTTTTTTTTTTGGCGTTATGAACTATGCATATTAGCCATGTGACAAATTCGTATATGTGTGTTCAAATTTGGGGGGTTATTGGGAAAAAAGGGCCAGGGGCAACGGTGGGAATCGAACCCACGACCGCGGCGTGAGAGTCTCTCATGCTAACCACTCGGCTACCGCGGTCCCCAAAATGAATGTTAATGGTCAGTGTTATGGACCTTGTTTGGTATAACCTTAATTGTTTGTCTTTATTAAATGATTTATTTGTTGAACCTTTTGTTTCCCACTCTAATCACTTTCCTCTAAGACTAACATTAAACATACATACAAATAAACATCACAGAACAGGTCCTATTAACATCTTATTCAAAGAGATACTCTTCTGGAAACCAGAGCTACGCTGACAATTCAAATATATGTTAATGTGTTCTCCTTGAATAGATAAGATACAAAACAACTCGACTGACCATCTGAACTCTAATCTAACATCAGTTATTTATAAAAGCGTGAATAGTTATGCTATATTAAAAAGATAAATTTGAACAGAGATCCCAGAAACTCTCCCCTTTGGTATGACCAAGATTTTATTGCTGCTAGGAAATGTGCTAAAACAGACCATCATGTGATTGAGATTGGAAGGTCATGAGGTGAAAAGAAGAGATCGATTTGGAAGCCATCGGTGAGGACATTAAATAAGTGCAATATTTAATGAGATCAGGAAGATCATTAGTATAACTACAAAAGATAGAGGCAGATGAACTGAGTTTTGAGGTACACCAGAAGGGGTGGGCAGGGTAGAGGAAGGTGGCTTGTCGGTGATGAGGAATATTTGCGAACAGGATGAGAAGAAGGAATGAAACCATCGAAGAACACTGTAGGGAAAAATGGAATTCAGTTTAGACAGAAGAAGAGAATGGTTTATGGTGCCAAAGGCTTTAGAAAAATAAAGTAGAAAAATAATAGTAATTTTACCTTGATCCATAGCCACCTGAGCAGAAGTTTTTTCTAAAAAAGCCGAATTCATAGAGAATCCAGGACAAAAGCCAGATTGAATACGTACAAGTAAGGAGGATTCTAAGTAATTGGAGAATTTAGAGTTAACTAATTTTTCAGTTTAGGTTTAGCTTATTACGTTAAATATTGTAAGAGGAAGGATTAGAGCCATTATTTAGGGACCAAAGAAATGCTTCCATGATTTTGGAAAAAGGTAATTTTGTAAGGAAAGGTTACAAATATAAAGGTGTACAGGAAGGTTGGTTGGAAGACAGGTCTTGATATATTTTATTGGTATCCCATCTGGACCAATTGCTCATGATGGTATCTATTTATGTATTAGATGTCAGCAAAGTAAAATCAATGAGGATCATCTGGAGGACAGCTAGAACGGGATATTGTGTTATGAAGGCCAAAGGAATGTGAAGAGTGAACAAAATGGGCATTAAACTTGTCTGGAGATGCTGGGAAAATTGGAGATGCTTGGGATGACTTACAGAGAGTTTCCATAGAAGATTCTACTTGGATTTGGGGTTAAGAGCAAAAGAAAAGGCAAGCAAATAATGAGACTGAGCCAATCGAAGCTTAGGCCAGATTCCCAAGATGAGTGTAGACTTCACGATCATCAGAATGACCTTTGCATCTGGTGTTTCTCTTTTCACAAAATTTTAGACAGGTTATTTTGTGGGATGATGCAATAGATCTGAAACTCAAAGAGCCTTTAGAAAGAAAAGAGCTTGCCTCGATAACCTCATGTTATTAAACTACTAAATCTTTTTGCTATTTTTGTTATTGCTATTTACGTAATGCGAGTGAGTCTATTTATTAACGTGAATGTATAGTGTAAGAGGACTGATGGTGGAATATTGAGTACCAGATGTGTCCCACCTAATCGAAGGGTGCAATTCCTTAGCTCCATGCAGAGAGCGCGCAGGAATGCTAATTTGAGAATTGTGCTTGAGAACGACAGGGAGTATTCGGGTCCCCTGTTCCAATTCTTGGAGGAAACAAGTTGATCTTGTAATAATAAAAGTTGTGTATACCTGGCTTGTGTTGAGAGTGAATGTTTGATGTGAGAGGATCTATGGCGGAATATGGAGTACCCCAACGACCCTCAATTAGGTTAGTTGTGTAATATGTGTAAAGGGTGATCGAGAAATACCGAATACTCAACAACCCTAATTGAATGAACGGTACGTAAATAGGAGTGAATGTATTCTTGACCGCTCCAGACGACTTCAACAAATTATTTATTTATTATACATACAGAAGTACTAAAACAAAATACAAAAAAGAAAAGAGTTGCTGGTGATAAATTTTGGAAAAATTTCTCGAGTTGAAAAAATCTATTTGTGAATTATTGGCATATTTCAATATTCTGTTAATTCCGGTGAACTTGAGAAAATCGGCTTTTAGGAAAGGAATGTGGAAAGTTTGGCAGGATCTAGTGGTATAATTTGGGACATTTTGAAACAGTTGCCTAAAATGAGAGCATGAGAATTAATAATAAAATAAATAAAATTATGAAACAACAGTTCACTAAAAAACACACATTACAAAATTACATGGAAAACAGTAACAGGTAATGGAACAAAATTAGTAGGTATTATTTGGAGGTCATGAGATGCGGTCTGGTGTGATGTAGGCTTTAGAAATACGTTTTCTTTATCGTGCCAACGTTTCGATCTTTACTGAGATCATCTTCATGATGTTTATAAACATTGTTTAAATTTTACAAATACATATAGGAAGTGAAAAAAAATTTATACAATGCTAGAAAATTTTAGATTTAAAATAATCACACATCTCCTTTCACCTCAAAGAAGCCGACTCCTCATATAAAAATGTCTTAGGAAGTGAAAAAAAGTCTATACAATGCTAGAAAATTTTAGAATAAAAAAATAAATGAATAAATTTATACAATGCTAGAAAATTTTAGATTAAAAAAAATGATTTTATACAATGCTAGAAAATTTTAGATTCAATCAAAGTATTTGTAGTACTCGCTCAAAGTGTTTGTTTTCTGCGTTTGTGTGCCATTCTTGTGTGTCGTGTTGAGAGTGCCAATGAGATACGAACATAAATATAAAACATCAATATCTCACTGGCACTCTAAACACGACAGACAAGAATGACACATCTACACGGAAAACAAGCACTTTGAGTGAGTACAAATAATTTGATTGAATCTAAAATTTTCTAGCATTGTATAAATTTTTTTTCACATCCTACTTGTATTTGTAAAATTTAAACAATGTTTATAAATCCCAGGCCCTGAAGATGATCTCAATAAAGATCGAAACGTTGGTACGATAAAGAAAATGTTTTTCTAAAACCTACGTCACACCAGCCCGCATTTCACAATCTCTGAATAATCATTTATCCTAATTCTTTTCTTATTTGCTGTTTTCCAATTTCTATTTGGTAAGTTAAATTCGATAATATTTAGTGGATCTTTTAGTGCATGATGAATTAAATTTCTTATTGTTACTAATTTGTTATTGTATATTTCAGAACCCAATTTTTACGGTTGAGTAAGTACACTCTGTTTCTAAAAGATTTATCCCACATTACCTTGCTTTCGGTACAAATTTTTCTTCCTAAAGTTTATTTCTAGTTTAAAAGTTAATATTACTTAAACAAAAAGAAAAAATCAATACTTGATACTTTTTTTTGGTAATTTTTGCACCATGTAAACTGTATTTTCTCTCTCCAATCAACTATAATCAGATGGTGTGTTTTGATTTGGAGAAAGAAGATGTGGCCAAATAACGCCGACAACATTTTGAGTTCCAAGATGAAATGGCGATCGGTTCTAAATTTGAGCTGGATGTACAGATTTGTGTATATTGTATGAATTTGTGTGTGTATATGTATTAATATTTTATTTATTATTTATTTTTTAATGGTTTTTATCTAGTTATAAATTGTGTAATTTTAAAATACAATGTTTTAAATAAAATATAATTAGTAGTGTATAAAATAATCATCTGTATTATTCGTTTTAATACACAATGCTAAAAAAAAATTTAAAATTTCATCTTAGTCAATTGTTCAACACTTTAACAGTAAGTTGCACCTGAATCGGCACTGGTTGAAATATTGACCACCTAAAATTTTGGGTCAATTTTTATTCAAGATAAAACTATTTTTTATCTTATTGAAATAGTTTTAAGGCACAAAATATTTAAGAATTTTTTTTAAATTTAACAACAGTGTTGCCTTATAAAGGATATGATCAATAGTTTGAGAGTTGTTACCTATTATCTTCTATAAATTTTCTAGCATTGTATAAATTTTTTTTTCACTTCCTAAGACATTTTTTTATGAGGAGTCGGCTTCTTTGAGGTGAAAGGAGATGTGTGATTATTTTAAATCTAAAATTTTCTAGCATTGTATAAATTTTTTTTTCACTTCCTACATGTATTTGTAAAATTTAAATAATGTTTATAAACATCATGTAGATGATCTCATTACAGATCGAAACGTTGGCACGATAAAGAAAACGTTTTTCTAAAACCTATGTCACGCCAGAGCTCATCTCACGACCTCCAAATAATCATTAACTAACGGTCACTAAACCCAACACATTAGTAGGTATTTTGTTTACCTGACATTTTTATTTTTATTTTTAAAAAATCTTGCTTATCCAATTTAACTAATTTGTAACGTCATGAACAGTTGCTCGCTTTTCGAGGTTTCCTCAGGTTTCCCTCGTTGTTCTGCTTTCAGTTTCATTCCGCTATCTTCATTCTTCTGATTGACATCGTCCAGGCGCCTTCGGCTGTTGACTTAAGAGAAAAAAAAGCACAAACCCCATCCTCACTCGTCAACGAAAATGTTCAGAAGGGCAATTAAAATTAAATCGAGCACTACATTAAAAGGATCCGCTAAGTGAGTAGTTTTTTATTTAAATATCATCCATGGACAGTGTCTTGGATGGCTTTAAGCCTAATCACGCCGGTGTGTACAAGGCCTAAAACGTCCAATTCTCCCGAATAAAAGATTGACATTTATTTTTTTCAATGGTGTTGAATAATCTAAACTGAGTATTAAATATATATTATTATAACTGAGTATTATAATCACGTCCTTGTCCATAATTAAAGGTCCGGGACAGAAAAAATATCCCACCCTTTTATTTAACTGCACAACACAATTGTGTGTTTCCCATTAAATTTTTGTTTAAACATAAATGACATTTTCAGTTAAATTTTGATTAATTTTTTTTACTAAATTACCAGTAAAATTTGAATTCCTGGAAATAATAGTAAATACAAAGTAAGTTAAAATGTAATAAGAAATAAAAGTAGCAGATACACTGAATAATTACTTGCTAATTGTTAACATTTTTATTTTTTGTTGCTTATTGGACATTTTTAAAGAAAAACGTAAGATATATCTAAATAAAAAATTAACTGATTAAAACAATTTTTTAATTTATTATTATTTCCTCATTCAACGTGCCATCAATTCTATGAGGTTTTGAATATTTTTATACTCTTCCAACAGTGCCATTCTTAATTCCTACAAATTCTCTGGCATCACTGGGCGACTTTTTACCCTCTTTGAAAACTTGATCCAAAGGTGTTCGATAGGGTTTAAGTCGTGACTGCATCCTGGCCATCGCAAACGTTGAATTGAAGCCCGTTCCATGTAGTGACCAATGATCCTAGCTGTGTGGTGCCTTGCATTGTCATGCATAAAAATAAAACTGTCGCCAATTAGTGGAATAGAAGAAACTTTTTCTGATGACGTATCTTCAATGTATCGCACAGCTGTTAGGGAACCCTATATGAAGAGAAATGCCTGCTTAAATGGTAACACCACCACCTCCATAGCTTCTCCGAGTGAAAATTTGGCGGACATATTTCACTCTCCTGTTCTTCTTCAAACCCTCTCTTGGCCATCAGACTTCAAATAAAACTTTGACTCGTCCAAAAACAATAATTCGATTTTATCCCTCCTGTGTTTTGAATATAATTTAATTATTTATGTGGTGTTTAGTGACCTTAGTTAATGATTATTTGAAGATCGTGAGATGCAGTCTGGTGTTGTAGGTTTTAAAACAACATTTTCTTTGTTGTGCCAACGTTTCGATCTTTATTGAGATCATCTTCAGGCTCAATGTGTTTGTTTTCTGTGTAGGTATGTGATACACAAGAATGACACATCTACACAGAAAACAAACACTTTGAGCCCTGAAGATGATGTCAATAAAGATCAAAACATTGGCACGATAAAGGAAATGTTTTTCTAAAACCTACGTCACACCAGACAGCATCTCACTATCTTCAAATAATCAAATTTAACTATTATTGTTTACATAGACAGAAAAAGGATTAGTTAAGGTGTTTTTATTTGTCTGTTTTCTTTGTGATCTCATATTTTTATATTAATATATGATTGTTAATTTCAAATTGAAGAAAAAATTGACCATTTTTGAGATTTTGGTCCATTCTTGCTCAGACCAATTGATGTGATTTCTTGCGAAACAACTGAACCGTTTTGTGCCTTGTCAGAAGTTCTGGTTCAGTGGCAGGCCTTCTCACACATAATCAAGCTTCTGAAAGTCATCGCATTATAGCGCGTAAACTGACATTAACATTTCTAACTTGTTGAAGTTGTCACTTGATCTCAACAACAGTAGAATGTCAATTACGGAGTACATTTGAAACAATAAAACGATCATCTCTCTGAGATGTGACACAATGTAGACCTGATCTATGCCTTCTTGAGTAACCTCTGGTATCTTGGTAGCAATAGAAGACCCTTCGGACTGTTTTTTTCTGGGAATGCTAAGCACCCTGGTCATCTATGCTTGACTTATATCTTCCAACAACGCTATGATTCTAGCCGTATCATATCACTTAAAACCATTTGAAACTTAAAAATGGTACAACTTAAAAACATCAAACCACTGGAATGTTAGAAAGAAGCTTTACAAACAAAACAAAAAAAAATGACTATTCACAGATTTATTTACAAAATAATGACCAAAATACATTTAAAATGAGCCAGAGTTATTTATGATTTTTAATAAATAATGAAATCAATAAAATTTAACATATCCCAAAATATTAGTGAGGGCTATCTTTTTGTTTCAGACCTTATAGTTAACCCTCACTTTGCCCAGTTTGTTTTACAGTTGATTACTACACACTGGGGTTTCCAACACCCCACTCCATTGAAATGTTAATTTCTCAATATCTCCTTGATATAGTTGAACTCATTTTGTTTCCAGATTTATATTTAAGACTCTGAGGTGTAAGGATAGCGTTATCCTGGTGAAAAATAATCACATTGCCGTTCCGGTAATTATTGGCTTTAATTGCTCTGAATATGTGCAGTCCAATTAACTAACGCTAGAATTAACGGTTAGCATTTCTTTTAATTTTCTGTTAAAGAACGATGCATTCTGAATTCCGTTAACATTGGACTTATAGCCAAAAAATGAATCGCATCCTCTTTTGCCCCCTAAGCTCATAGCTTGAGCATAGCTCAATCCTCCTTTCAACCCATGGGGTGGAAATTTAGGTCAAGTCACCCCTCATTTTAAACAGCCAACACAGATCCCTCAAATAAATCGGCAGTTTATTCATGAATGAAAATCATATACATTCAATGTCCAACTGCTTGTAGAAGGTGAACTTACTTGATACTCTATTTGTCTTTCGCCAAAGACTCTTTCCCCTTCTTTTGTTATTCTTTTTAATATTAATTTGGATTGTTGGCTTTTCCAGAGTGATACATCATCTAAGGAAGGACAGACATCGCAATGGTATTTTTCAAAAAGATACAACCAACTTTTACATTATCATCCAACATAGTTATTGTTAAAGTTTAACTACAGTTATATTTTAAAGACTTCAATTATTGAAATCATACGATAAAAGGTTTAGTATAAATTAAATCCTGCAAAAAAGCAGGAGAAATTAGCATCCGACTACCTGTTGGGTGTTGTGGATGGGTCAGACAATACTCATTTCAAACTATTTTACAATAGTCCAAGGGTGGTGCTGAGATCCAGAAATGCTAGCGTGGCAAGAAGAATCAAACATCATAACGACTCTGTCACAGTCCTCTTTATAAAAAGATATGGGTTTTAATTAATTGGGAAGTAATCAAAAATTATACTTGAGTATTAAAAAGAAAAAAGTATAGATGATATAGATGAAGTGTCATTTAGCCGTTAGAACTGTCCCATTTCAATTATTATCAATATTTTATAATTATGTTGGTACTATTTATTTTATTAATTATTTAGATATAAAATATTAAAATTGATACTGGGTGGTGGTCGGTGAATTCATGTTAAACTGGCACTGGGCCACATATTGGGTCCATCTTCACTCACAGGCTTGTTGAACTGCTCAAACATGTTTCGGCATTACACCTCAAACACATTTGAGTTGTTCCACAAACCTGCAAGTGAATATGGGCCCAATAAGTGACCCAGTGACAGTTGAGCATACAAAACGGTTAAAATAAAGCATAACGTTAATATTTTATTTATTGTTGGTTGTTTCAGATTGGGATAATTTATAGTATTTTGTTGTAATGCCTTTTATTTCTTTTAATTTTCAGGAAGCGGCTGGTTCAGCAAGTTCTAGGAAAGTTCCCAAACATGACAGAAGATGATTTTTATTCCATCTTTCCTAGAAAGGATAACATACTAGAAGTGAAAATATGTTCGAACAGTAAATTTTATATGGTTTATTCGGTTCAAAATATCCCTCTACTTATAGAGAATGAGAAATCATATATTCCTACTGTTTTTCTTTTATGGCAACACCCATCCTTTGTCAAGACTGTTACCACACATGAGCCTGTCATTGATAAGCTGATTAATGGCGCTGACTTAATGATACCTGGATTGAAATTTCAAGATGAAGATGAATGCTATCCGTCTTTCGAAAAGGATGAAGTTGTATCTATTGCCATACAGAGTAATTTTGCATCCTTAGCTGTAGGAACCACTGCCATTTCTAGCGAAAGCATCAATTCCAACAATGCTCATGGAAAAGCCGTGTTGATAATGCACACCATTAACGATGAGTTATATAAATTGGCACAACATCCTCCAGAAAAACCTATTATTACTAGCGATATTTTATCTAAAAAGAGTGACGAAAATGCTGAAACTAGTAAATCACAAGAAGAATGTACTACCAATACAGTTGAAGCAGAATCTGAAATTGAACCTGTTAAGAGTGAGGAAGTTACCGATCAAAACATCGATTACAATTATATACTTAAAAAATATTTTTTGGTTGGGTTGCTCAATTTACCAAAAGATTCACTGCCTATTTTGACAAGTATCTTTTATAAAACTAAATTTCTTTCCGCTCTGCCAGAAGATGTTAATTTCGACATTAAAAAAACCTCATACAAAAAATTATCAGGTTTTGTAAAAAACTTGGCAAACAATTTAATTATAGGCATGGAAGAGGTGCAAGGAGTCCAAAAGATCATCTCAGTAGATTATTCTCATCCAGAATTTGTAGAGTTTATACAATTCAAAGAGTCTGGACAAAGTAAACAGCCTCAAAAAAAGCAAAAAGTTTTAATCGAAGAGATGTATAGGATCACAAGTGGTGGTCTGCAAATTCTGGGACATTACAACTATAAGTATGATTATATTTGAAAACATTGAAATATATAAACTAAGAATCAAATTATAATTTCTTTGTTTCGTTTAGAAAAGGTGATCTTATTACACCAGGAGATGTCCGTACACATGTGATGGAATATGTAAAGAAAAAACAAGTAGAACCTAGCCCAGTCAAAGGGTAAGTGCAAATATGTAATCACTGTTCTCTAGTAAAACATTTATTACATTGCAATTACATTTTTATTATCATTTTATTATGTAATATACATGCCGATTTGAATCTAAATAAAAAGTTGTGTCACAAATTCAAAGATCATAGGGTAGACTAGTGATTCCCAAATTGTGCGCCGCAGCTCCCCAGGGCACCATGGCTGCGTTTGAAGGGCACCGTGAAAAATTTCTGTACAAAATATCATTAATTTTGTATTTGTAAAAAACCTATAACCCCCTCCCCCCCATTATAAAATCCTAAAACTTAAGACCCTGGTGGCCATCCAATCTCAATATGGATTTTAACAAGACAGCTGCAATTGTGTATTTTATATTACTGCCCAAAAAAAAAAAAATTTGTTATTAAGAGCGTAATCGCTTTTCAAAAGGCAAGTTTTGCAATTTCACAAGAAAGGAATTTTGATTATTTATTAAATAAAATTGCTAGCAAAATAAGAGGTTTAGATATATCAGTTCATTTCTCAATCAGAAATGGATTACTAAGGTCACACTGAGATAAACCATTGCTTTGATTTGTGGTGCCGCGGAAAAATTCTGATATTTTAAGGCCACCGGAAAAAGAAAAAGTTTGGGAACCGTTGTATTAGACACAACTATTTCATTTCAAAAATTCAAACGGCGTGTGGCAAAAACTATTGAAGGGAGTTTTTACACTTGTTTAAAACAAAATAACTAACCAGTATGTGGGTTTATTGCTTTGTACTGTATTTAACAAACTATGATTGCGATTATTTTTTGCAAATTCTTATCGTAACACTTTTTAAATATTATTAATTACTATTTCTGCAGAATAGAAATAAGAGGATGGTGTAATGGTTGTTTAGTTGTGATATTTCCTCCTGTGGTCTATGTGGTGATAAACCTATAGTTTCATAGTTATCATCTTGGTCTACCTATCCTCGCTGATTTTGGTCAGACGCATTTCGCCATCTTCAGTGTAGAGTTTGGGTGAGTACTGTGGAGTGAATTTTTTAGTTACTAGGTCATGGAAGCTGGGGGGAGGTCAGTATTGTGATTGACGGTAGTCGCGATTCTTTTGATTGTTCTAGTTAGTCTTTTTGATTTGTGTAATGTTTAAAAAGGTTTAAACCATGTTTCTGAGTTATTGTTCATGTTTCGTTGTGTAGTTGTTTCATATTTTTTTTAATTGTTGATAGTTTTCTATTGGGTGAGTTGTTTAATTTGATTTTCCCTCGTAGTCCTAAAATGATTTGATGTATTCTTTGTATCTGCCTTTTGTTTTTCATCCTATCTATCTGATGTACTTGTCTCTTCAATCGCTTGTTAGTGTGTATATTCCATTTTTTTGTAGTGGGTCGGTCTTGTCGATTTTCCTATTTTATTTGTGGTTTGCGGTGCTGTTTTTATGCCTAATTAGTTGAATAAGTTTATACATTTTTTCACAGTGTAAGTGAATGCGATACATTTCATGTCTGTTTTTGTGGCGTTGTTTTGTTTGTTTATTTTGTTGATTGTGTTTCAGTTGCAGCCATTATTGTGTGTTATGGTTTGTATTCTTTTTAATTCGTTTTCATACTTGTCTTTGATTTGGGATTGATTTTGGTCTGGCTGTCATGTATTTCAGTGTTGCCATTTTGTGTTGGTGTGGGTGGTTTGAGTTGGGTTATATGATGTCAGTTGCTGTCGGTTTTATGTATATGTCAAATTGTAGTTTGTCATCTGTTTTTGTGATTGTTAAGTGTTGGAAGTTTGTACTGTTATTTATTTCTATTTATGCAGTATATAATATAAAATAAATGTATAAATATAATAAATTCAACACTAAAAAAACTCATAAATACACAAATTAACAATAACTCATGAACAACATTTACACATTTAAAACTTAACACAAATTAAAAAGGAAAAGGACTGAAGATCAAAAAATCAATCAAACGATAAAAAACTGACTTAATCCATCAAACACACTGGCAAACAATATTAATATTGACACATTCCCCCTACTATCCATGATGTTATAACTTAAAAAATTCACTCTAAAGAAATCACCCAAACTCAACGCTGAAGATGGCGCAATGCCAAAATGCGTCTGACTGACAAAAATCAGCAAAGATAGGTAGGCCAAGATAATAGGTAACAACTCTCAAACTATTGATCATATCCTTTATAAGGCAACACTGTTGTTAAATTTAAAAAAAATTCTTAAATATTTTGTGCCTTAAAACTATTTCAATAAGATAAAAAATAGTTTTATCTTGAATAAAAATTGACCCAAAATTTTAGGTGGTCAATATTTCAACCAGTGCCGATTCAGGTGCAACTTACTGTTAAAGTGTTGAACAATTGACTAAGATGAAATTTTAAATTTTTTTTTAGCATTGTGTATTAAAACGAATAATACAGATGATTATTTTATACACTACTAATTATATTTTATTTAAAACATTGTATTTTAAAATTACACAATTTATAACTAGATAAAAACCATTAAAAAATAAATAATAAATAAAATATTAATACATATACACACACAAATTCATACAATATACACAAATCTGTACATCCAGCTCAAATTTAGAACCGATCGCCATTTCATCTTGGAACTCAAAATGTTGTCGGCGTTATTTGGCCACATCTTCTTTCTCCAAATCAAAACACACCATCTGATTATAGTTGATTGGAGAGAGAAAATACAGTTTACATGGTGCAAAAATTACCAAAAAAAAGTATCAAGTATTGATTTTTTCTTTTTGTTTAAGTAATATTAACTTTTAAACTAGAAATAAACTTTAGGAAGAAAAATTTGTACCGAAAGCAAGGTAATGTGGGATAAATCTTTTAGAAACAGAGTGTACTTACTCAACCGTAAAAATTGGGTTCTGAAATATACAATAACAAATTAGTAACAATAAGAAATTTAATTCATCATGCACTAAAAGATCCACTAAATATTATCGAATTTAACTTACCAAATAGAAATTGGAAAACAGCAAATAAGAAAAGAATTAGGATAAATGATTATTCAGAGATTGTGAAATGCGGGCTGGTGTGACGTAGGTTTTAGAAAAACATTTTCTTTATCGTACCAACGTTTCGATCTTTATTGAGATCATCTTCAGGGCCTGGGATTTATAAACATTGTTTAAATTTTACAAATACATGTAGGNTCGACAGATTATGGAGGTGACTCTCATTCAGCAGGCAGGAGGTAGCTGATAGAAATCATCGTAAGGAAAGTTAAAGTAGTGAAAATAGTTTATCACGCACCTTACTGCGCCGGCTCAGATCCCCACCTCCAACACCGAGATAATCTCCGATAAGAGGATAAGCGATAACCCAGACCTCCTGATCCAGTAAATTATAGAAAAAGATTGGTTTTTTCTTTCTCTACCTGTAGCAAATTCACTGCACCGAGGTCCTTTTTCTCACAGACTATCAGCACAGAATCGACACGTTCACAAGGTTGTCCAAAAATTTGAATACAACTCCTACTTTTGATCGCTTAAATGTGGCTCAATAACAGAGACGATGTGTCTCTCACCGTGTCTCAATCCAAACTCCACAATGTTTATAAATCCCAGGCCCTGAAGATGATCTCAATAAAGATCGAAACGTTGGCACGATAAAGAAAATGTTTTTCTAAAACCATGACGTAGGTGATCTCATGATCTCCGCGAATAATCATTAACTAACGGTCTCTAAACACCACATATTAGGATAAATAATTTACAATTTGCCAAGTAGGCAGTTTGACAAAGACAGGGTTCTGAATGGGCAGTGGTCGAACCAATAACCCATACTTCACCCCTTCACGTTGACATCGCTAGGATATTTTTCCTAACCGTCCACTACATTGTGAAACGTACTGGACTCCTCAGGCGATTATTCCCGCGCAATCCTTAGTGGTCGATTTGTTGACCAGTGCCCTGTAAGAGGGTTTGGTCAATGTTTAGTGATCATATATTGCTGCGCAATCAGAGCTGCACAAAGTATAAATTATATAAACTATTTTAGAATATTGTATCACATTCCATCAAGAAATTATTTTGAAAAAAGTGGTACACTGTTTTAAATAAAACCGCTGCATTTATGTATCGTTCATTATCCGTTTTGTTAATTTTTTGTGCCAACGTCCCCAGTTGTTCATACTTGCATGATTGTAACTATATTTCATGATTTAAACTCATGATGAAACTTCAAAATATATTTGTTTGTTATATTTTCAAAATAGATTTGTTGTTTAAAAGTTATATTTATACATTGGTGAAATCACAAAAAATTATTGCAAATAGTGGTTTTAAGTTATGTACCAAAATAATATACAATTTACTATATTGTTTTTTTTTTGTTTTGTTTTTTTTAGTTCGTGCAACAGCTAGATGTAAGTTAAATAATTTCATACATTTTTTTTCAGCTGTGTTTTTCTTGATGATGAACTAGTTTCTATTTTGAAAACAAAAGAGCGGCAGATTACATGGAAAGAACTTTTTGACAAATTTTTTCATTTATTAAGTGTTGTTTCTATTGTAACACTACCCAATGGGCAACAAGTAAAACAGAACTCCAAACTGCACCCAATAGACATCAAAGTTGCAAGTCGCTGTAATAATAAAAAGGTATTGTATTAAACACCCTACTAGAGAGATCATTGCTTCCCAACCAACGGACAGGGTATGGCTCCAGGGGCTTACAACAGTTCAAAGCTCTAACCCATGCAAAATAAAATTAGCCTAAAACTACCATTTATAATACAATAGTACGAACAAATACATTCACACTTATGTATATTGCACTCATTCTGGTTGGTCGGTGGAGAATTTTCATAAATATCACACTATTGATAAACACTCTACTGGAGGGGCGATGGTGGTGTTCTATTTCACCATCAGCCCCTCACCACTCACAATAAAAAATTCACATACCCAGGCAAAACTGATCTATATACAATTTTAAAAAAACCTCGTCCTCTAAAAAGTAGAGAAGGAGACCCAGAAACTCGTTAGTGTGCTCGAGAACCAAGAATCTGCCAGCATGCCTACACATTTTTGCGTAATTTTCCCTCGCGAAGAAGGTTTCTAACAATAAAACTTTATTACTAGACTAGTATGTACACAGTTATACCTTGTATATTTGCAACACGTTTTTTAATAAATAATTTCAATAAACAACTTTTGTCTTAATTCAAAAAGTAAAACTTTGTGACATTGCAACGCTAAAATTAAATAGCTGATTATTTCCTAATTTCAGGTAACAATTGTGTCAAACTTGCAAACGTTTGGCATAGACGTTAAGGATTTTGCCCATGACTGCCAACTTGCTGTTGCTGCTAGTGCCACTGTCAATGAACTCCCTGGCCATCAAAAGGATTTACAATGCCAAATACAAGGAAACCATGCTATTATGATCCGCAAAGTCTTACTTGGTATAAAATGCCCATATCAAAAAATATATATTCTATAGATATTGTAATTCTGTTTCGTTCCAGAAAAATATGGGGTCCCTACAAAATATATTATTGGAGGAGAAGAAAAAGCAAAGAAAAATTAATGAATTAATAATACTTATTTAATATCCTACAGTCATTTAACTGTACTCCAACAAGATATTTCATTCGTTTATCATTCAAAGATGTCATTCATTAAAAAAAACTATTTTCCTTGAATGTTGTATTATTTTTAATTTAATAAGTGAGAACTTTTTATGCACTGCATATGTTGTCTCTTTTGTAATAATTTTTTGTTCAATTGGATGGACCAGTTCGCTATTAAGAATTGAAAAAAAAAATTCTGATCTCACTTCATGTTCCTTTGTCTGTTTTGTCATATTGCCTATATTTTGGTTTCTAATTTTTTTTTTATACATGTTTTCACTTTTAATCGATGTAAAAATGATTACAATTAAATTAATTTAAAAATATGTTAGCATTTTATCCATTTTACAATACAAAAAAACGTAAATGCACCAAACAAAAAAACAGACACCTGCTTTTACTTATTTTTCACAATAACTAGGCATAAAGATTAATAGTTGTCTTAAAACATAGACACAACATTAACAACTTATTTACCTTTATAGAGTGTTACTAATCCTTTTACACTCTTTAGATTAAAAATAAAGAAAATCAGTTCAATTTCATCCTTTCCTAAGGCAACTTGTTGAGTGAGTTAATTGGTTTTTTAAATTGTTTTCTTTGATGAAATATTTCTTCTTCTTAAAAGCATGGTTTCCAGTCGAAAAAATCCCACCCAGGCTGATGCTTTGGCCAATGACGTAGCGTCCTCTACATAGCCCAAGTCCTGGGTGTGCCGCGCTCTACCAACTAGTGCCACTTCCTGTATATTAGTCACCTTACCCATACGGGCTAACTTTTAGATCCCTAGTTTCTCATGGGAACTTGGGCTACATGGTATTAGCACATCCTTTCCTGTAAATTTGTCAATGAAAATTCGATGGCATTGTTTAATAAACTTTTGATTGCCTATCTGGTAGCATTGCAAAGATGGGGTGTGTCTGTTTCTAAGAAGAGTGATAGGAATACCAACTGAGCAGGGGCGTCGGTGGCCGCAACAGTTTAGGCGTTGACACAGTGCTCATCATTAAGGTAAATGTCCCAGGTTCGAATCCAGCGGCCCTGCATTTGAACCCAACATACTTACAAATCGGCTTTTTTTCAAAAACACCGCTGCCCTGACGGTTTATATGACCTCTGCTGTTGCAAACCCTCATAACAAAAAATAAAAAACCAACACTCTGATTAATAATGTGTGGTAACAATCCAGATAAATTGAGGGTTTGTAAGTAGCTGTTTCTCTTGTTAACATATTATGTTGAATGCTGATATTAAATAATTTGACAACCCCATTTTTTGCAGCTAATACTGCACATTCACTTAACCATTGATGACTAATAATTTTGTTTGATTTGTGAGAGTGAAATTGCAAAAATGATCCAGTCGCAGAAGGATCATTAAATAAATAAAAACGTTATTTACAATGAAATTCAATACAAACCGGGGCTAATTTAAACTTAAAAAAGTAAAAAGAAAGAAAAAAAGCATTTTCAACAGGCAAAATTTGTGATGCTCTACAGCTCGCCGTCAAAGAGAAAGAAATTGAATAATGGTAATGTAATTCCACCTGTTAATGCAAAATTAATCTTAAAAATCATTCACAACAGGATACAAAAAAATGTTGGTGAATGTGAAAAAAAAAATACTTTGAAACTTAACTAATAACATTTATTGTTAATTCAGTCTAATTATTTAAAAAATACTGAAAGGAGAATGTTGATCAAAAGTTGCATCCTGCTAATTTAAATTATTTTTATTGATTGATAAATAACGATTAATTTATGGAGTGGATTGCAGGATAGCCATACTTTCAAATGTCATGTAATCAGGATTCTTAGTGAGGTGTTTTTTTTTTTTTGGTTTTGGAATTATATAGGCTCATATCCGCACATGTACATACAAACATGTGCCATATTGAGTCTTCGTTTCTTGTAGATCACCCGCAATTCCAGCTTTTGCTGTTTACAGTAAACTGCCGGCAGACTCAACCAATCACCCACCCCCAGGTTGGCAGTCTGGATTACAATGCCACACCTCAGAGGCAGAGTTGTTCATCATTGTTTAGAATACCTGGTAATTTCCTATCTGCCCCTAACCCCCATTGTCTCCAGACCTCAATCCCATTGAGCACATGTGGGATGCGTTGCAGAGAAGGCTTTCCGACCACCATCCACAGCCAGTTGATCTGCAGAAACTGAGTTGCATTGCAACATCTATGGAATGAAATTCCTTATGAAATTACTGACAACCTTATTAACAGTATGCCTAACAGGTGCTCAGAGGTTTTAACTAACAGAGGACATTATACACGATATTAATTGTTTAAAAAAAATCGTTTCTAATAAATTATGGAATTAAAACTTAGTAATTTTTCAAAATCCCTTAATTAAATTTTAATTCAGCAAAAACAATAATTTCTAATAAATAGTATTGCAATTTATAATAAAAATAAAATAAAAATGCTAGGGAAAGTAAATACTACAAAATTGGCAATATCCCTATTCATTTTTGAGCATTTTATGTACCAATCCAGCCAATAATTGGTACCTCGAATCAGTAGACTAGAAAACCAATTCTAGGTAACTAGAATGGTAGACTAAACTACCTAGTACTTCTTTTTTTTTAAATTTATTTGTTTGTGCAGAATTGGGGCAGTTGCCCTTGATTATTCTTGGTGTTTAATTTTTTAACTGCAGCATTTCATTATAGAAGCATAGGCCTTGTATTCCTTTTTTTTTTTTTTTTGGTATATGAAATTAGTGTAGTTTTTGAAGGGTTTCCTTTAAGTATCCGTTGTGAGTACTTTTGTTCTACAATGTTTAGTGCTCTTTGTGTAACACCAGGTTCTGCTAGGACGGAATTACAAAATTACTTTAATTTGTTGAAGTCGTGAGGAGAGGTCAAGAATGAGGTAATTTTGAAAAACACCTTTTTCATTTTTTCCCCGACGTTTCGACCTTTATTCGGGTCATCTTCAGGGCATAAAGTGTGGTGCTATTCTTGTGGTTTCATATTGGTTTTATACAACACTTTTGCACAAACCCAATATGACACAACAAGAATAGCACCACACTTTATAAGAGTATGAAATATTTGTTTCAAAATTTATATTTACATCTGTATTGTATTTTTTCCTATCAACATAAAATCCAGGAACTGAAGATGCCTAGAATAAAGGTCGAAACATCAGCAAAACAATGCTTTAGGTGTTTTTCTAAACTACCTCATTCTTGACGCTCCTCACGTCTTCAACAAATTATGAAACAACAGGTCACTAAGAAACACAGTAAATAATTAATACGGTCAATTGTGACTACTATATATGTATGTATATGGATTAATAAAGGAAATCTTATTCGTACAACCTAATCAGAATTATTTTTAATTTTTTGAAAGTATTGATCCTTTTCTAATTCCATTCTTTTTTTGTAATTATATAATGTTCTAGATATATTGGATTTTTTTTTCTCTCTAGAAGTTATTGAAATGGATAGAAAGTCAATAGTTGGATTAATACATTTAAAAACCAGGCCACCGTTGGCCAATGTGAAAGAAGTGAGGAAAAAAGTTGAGAAATACTGGAGATGTCGTCGGCGCGGAGGGGGCGCCGTTGAAATTTGAAAGGTCGACGAGTATTGATAAGAGTGGCGCAGAACAGCTGATCGCCAAGGGGAAAAAAAGTCAGAGTTTTGTTTATCTGTGGACAAGACGGTAGGACGAGACTAGTTGAACTCAGTTCGACCTTATTTTTTATTTTATTTTACTATTTTTATTTACATTATTGGAATGATTTGTACTAAGAGATGAAAAATGTTTATTTGGAAATTGTCTTGGAACCTCGAAATGGTTTTTTACGAGGTAAGCTCATATATTTTATACGTGGGACAGCTCGTCTGGAGCGTTTCACCACATAACATTTGCCAATTCTTCATTTCCCACAAGTTTTAAACTCATCCGTTCAATTCACCCTTTTTCAGGGGTGAAAAAACAGCCAGAAAAGCTTTTTAAAACGATTCCTCGGCTTTTAAGCTTTCACATTCACCAGTGTCAGTTGATTGTGGAAGCCCTCGGCTCATCGTTCAACTGACACGTCGCTGTACATACTGAAAATTTCTTTTTAAATGTCACAATTTGAATCCGTACGGGGTTTTCTTTTCTTTTTATTATCGAACAGGGAAGATCCTGGCAGGGGGAATAATCCAAAAATAAAGACAACCCACCCTCAATGAAAACTCGAGCCAAAAAGGAATTTGAATAAAAAAAGTCATTTTTGATTTGGCAACACCTGCCAAATTTTTGCTTTAATTATAAATCGTATGCGCAAATTGATTTTTTATAACTTTTTTTTTGTCTATTTCTCCCGATGCGACGAATCTTTTTGACCTTTGACATTTCTTCTATGTTTTTGAACATTTGTAACATCCGGCCAGGGCGTTTTTTTCCCTCTAACATTTTGCCAGTCCGATCCTGGCCCGTTCAATTTCGCTGTGTTTCGGTCAGACGCGTTTCGCCATCTTCAGTGGTTGACCCCTGTTGAACGCATTACGGTCGCCTTTCTTTTTCCTGCCCTTTCACTCCTTCTTTCATTAATAATTCTTTTTTTTCAACATATTTCACCATAAGTTCATCGACGTTCAAAAAAAGACGTTAAGGCGAAACTCGTCTTTAAGAAAATCCCCGGTCAAAATGACAAACGGCACGCATAGCAACCGAAAGAAAAGTTAAAAAAATATCGACCACCTTGCCAATTCAGATTCAAACGACGCATAAGTTGCGAAATGTAGACAAATATGATGAAATATATACTTTAAAAATATAAGACGATGGTGATTATATTAAACATATAATAATAGAAACAAATGAAAATAACATTTGCCTAATATATCAAAGATGTCACAAAACGCTCGTTCTACCTGTTTATTTAACAATAGCGCAATGTACATTTCTCTTTCAGCAATCCGAACTAATTGCTGCTGGGTAGTATTCGGACAACAGAGGGTGTCACATTATTTCAATACAATACATAATTATTATTGCTTGCACAAAACGTTTAACCTATTAGAATACTACTATATACCGTCAATTTTTCGTTAAAAAATCAATTTAAAAAATATTTAACATTTTCTCTAATGCTTCCTCTTTTTCACTCATTTTAAAGCGGTATGTATATTATACGTAATGTAGACTGATCTAACATTTCATTTTTTGGCAGTAAGGGAGGTGAGGGATTCACAGGACAAAAGGCTGTATCGTAAATATTGCCTAAGTTGGTCTTGTCTTTCGTACAACTCTCCCTCTCGCTCACTAGCTTACTGTCTCTCTCACAATCACTCCCTTTCTCTATTCTCTATCTCTCACTCACTCATTCATTCACTCTCTCCCTCTCTCACACACTCTCCCTCACTCACGCACTCTCTCTCTCTCTCTCTCTCTCTCTCTCTCTCTCACTCTGTTACTCTCATTTTCTCACTCTCTCTTTACTTCTTCCACCTACTCACTCGTTCAATCACTCATTCATTCACCAACTCTCACACTCACACACACTCTCTCCCCCTCTCCCTCACACACACTCTCTTTCCTTCTCTAACTCACTCAAACATACACACACACACACACACACACACACTCTTTCTTTTCTTTTTCTCCCTCACACACTCCCTCATTCACTATCACTCTCTCTCTCTTTCTCTCTCTCTCTCTCTCTCTCTCTCTCTCTCTCTCTTTTCTTTTTCTCTCTCGCATACCCCCTCATTCACTATCACTTACTCTCCCTCCCTTTGTCCTCTCTCTCTTTTTCTCTCATTCTCTCACTCTCTCTTTACCCTCTCACCAACTTACTTACTCTCTCAGCCATTCACCCACTCCCTCTCACACTCACACACACAGACACACTCTCTCTCTTTCTCTTTATTTTTCCTTTCCCTCCTAATAATATTTCGTCTGTTTCCTTTAAAATTCTTACTTCTTGGATTGTTTTCCTATTCGGATTACTGAAATGTTCTGGGTACCGAATTAGGAGAGAGTACTGTGTGGTCGATTCTTTTTGACGCACGGACTGTAAAAATTACTTATATACAATTTTGCAAAAAGATTTCTACGTTTGTCTGAATTAACTGTACTTTCATCCCGGGCAGATGTTTGTTTGATAATCACGGTCCGCTAATTCTCCTTTGAGACTTAAAACAGTAAACATTTCGAAATTATTGTCTTGTTTGGGTTATTTTTAATGTTGTTGGTGTTTTTACAACACATTCTTCTTACATAATGCAGATTAATCAAAAGCCGTTGTTTTTAACACGTCTCAAGTATTTCACCTTGTAATTCAACAATTGCGTTTAGATGTAAATTTTGCATAGAAAAAAAGCACTGTTACTGTTTTTAATTTTTTTATGACGTCAACTTTCAGTTCCTGTACAACTCGTTCATTTCGATAATTTGTCGCTTTGAACAAATCCTTTGGACAGTAGTTCTTCGCCGTGGTCCGCTTATTCTCCTTCTCGCTCGTGACCACCAGTAAACACGGCGAAATGTATTTGTGGGATCGATTGGAATACCAGTAAATAAATAACGTATCATAAGACCATTCGTCCAATATTTCAACTCGTCGTAAGTACTCTTGACAATATTTTTGATAGTTTTAATTTCCAAAATCCAGTTAAGCAACTGCGTGTATGTATGAATTTTTTAAAAATATATATTATTGTTTTTTACATTTATCCATTCTCTTGTAGTAAGTAATTGGTAAGTTATTTTCCTATGATTTTTAGTGGCGTATAAGTACTGATTCAATTTTTTTAAACTTTTTTGACACCGTTGACAAAAATTGGCCTGCTAATTGAACAATTGCCAACAATTTTTAGATGATGTATTCATTGCTTTGTCGCTTGAAACTTTTTCAACCGAGAATTTCAAAGTTATTTTCTTGGAATATATTCGTACTATTTCTTTGTCTCACACAGGACAATTAAATCGAAATTGTTTTTATTTTATTTTTTTGTCACAATTGGCAGAAATTGGTCTGCTAATTGAACAATTCCTCATTCCTGTCTATATTTGGTCGTTTGTCAGATGTATTCGTGGCTTTGTCACTTGAAGCTCTTTGGCCATTTGTCATATGTATTCATCGCTTGGTTGCTTGAAACTTTTTCATCCAAGTAATTCGAAGTTATTTTCTTAGGGGCTTGCGTTACTCTTTACTCACTTGTAATCCTGCTTGCAAGCCCCTTGATACCATAAGTGAAGAATTTCAAAGTTATTTTCCTGTGCTGAATATTGGTACGATTTCTCTTTCTCACAGAGCACAGCTGCTTTTACTTTTTTAACACCTGCTGGCTTGCTGCTTGGCCTGCTAATTTAATAATTGATTGTTCCTGTCTCTATTCGGTCATTTGTCAGATGTAATCATTGCTTGGTTGCTTGAAACTTTTTCATCCAAGTAATTCGAAGTTATTTTCTTAGGGTTTGTGTTACTTTTTACTCACTTGTACTCCTGTTTGCAAGACCCTTGATACCATCAGTGAAGAAATTCAAAGTTATTTTCCTGGTCTGAATATTGGTACGATTTCTCTTTCTCAGGAGCACAGCTGCTTTTACTTTTTTAACACCTGCTGGCTTCCTGCATGGCCTGCTAATTTAATAATTGATTGTTCCTGTCTCTATTCGTTCATTTGTCAGATGTAATCATTGCTTGGCTCCTTGAAACTTTTTCATACAAGAATTTGATATTAACCAGACTTTTTTTGACATTCGGTTACAGCGCAAATGATCAAACCCCTTATAACGTCGTTTAAATAAGTCGGCCGTTATTGAACAAAAATTTGATGGTCCATCATGGTCCGCCTTCTGAATCTACCATTTTACACCGGTAGATGTATTATTTGTCTTAAGTACAGTATCGTATTTAACAATTTTTTTTCTCTCTTGTAATACGATCCGCATGCCCTTTGAAACTATCAGTGAAAAATTTCAATTTTTTTTTTGAGGGTACATTCGTTTGATTTCTAATTCTCACAGGACATTTAAATCGCAAATGTTTTTACTTTTTGACACAGTTGGCAGAAATTGGACCTGCTAATTAAACTATTTTTCATTCCTGTATATATTTGATCGTTTGTCAGATGTATTCATCGCTTTGTTGCTTGAAACTCATTCGTCCAAGAAATTCGAACTTATTTTCTTGTAGTTTGTGTAAATCTTTACTCACTTGTAATCTTGTTTGAAAGTTTGTTGATACCAACAGTATTTTCCTGGATTGAATTCTCCTGTACGATTTCTCTTTCTCACAGAGCACAGCTGCTGTTACTTTTTTTACACAGTTGGTAGAAATTGGCCTATTCGTACTTGTGACTGTACCATTTTACATATATCTCTTAAATCTTATATATTTATATCATTTGTCATATATATCGTCTTATATCATTTCTCAGATCGATTCATTGCTTTGACGCTTGAGACTCTTTCATCCAAGAAATTCAAAGATATTTTCTTGGGGTTCGTGTAACAATTTGCACACTTTTAATCCTGTTTGCAAGTCTCTTGATACCATCAGTGAAGAATTTCAAAGTTATTTTCCTGTGCTGAATATTGGTACGATTTCTCTTTCTCACACAGAGCATAGCTGCTTTTACTTTTTTAAGACTGTTGGTAGAAATTGGCTTGTTAATAGAACAATTGATTGTTCCTTTCTCTATTTGATCATTTGTCAGATGTATTCATTGCTTTGTTGAAACTTTTTCATCCAATAATTTGGCATTAATGAGCCCATTTTTTGCCATTCAGTTACAGTAGAAATGATTAAAGCCTTTATATTATCGTTTTGATTAAATAGGTCGTTATTGAAAAAAATTTGATGGTCCATTATCATCATGGTCCGCCTATTCTTACTTGTGAATGTACCATTTTACACTGGTATATGTATTATTTGTCTTATGTACTGTTTGTTATATATTTAACAATTTGGTGGGTTTTTTTGTTCTCTTGTAATACAATCCGGAAGCCCTTTGAAACTATCAGTGAAAAATCTCAAACTTACGTTTTACTTTTTTTGAGCGTACATTTGTCTGATCTCTTCTATTTGTCCCACAGGACACTTAAATCGAAAATACGTTTACTTTTTAAACACAGTTGGCAGAAATTGGCTTGCAAATTGAACAATTGCTCGTTCCTGTCTATATTTGATCGTTTGTCAGATGTATTCGTGGCTTTGTCACTTGAAGCTCTTTTATTGAAGAATTGCATAGTTATTTTAATTTTTGTTTGACACAGTTGGCAGAAATCGGGCCTGCAAATGAATAATTGCTCATTTCCGTCTATATCTGATCGTTTGTCAGATGTATTTACTGCTTTGTCGCTTGAAACTTCTCATCAAACAATTTCACAGTTATTTTCTTGGGATTTATATTCATACGATTTGTATATCTACGGCAGGAATGTTAAATCGATTTTTTTACTGTTTTGACGCCATTAACAACATTCCTTTTTAAAAAGATAGTTCTATTCACAGTAAGTTGTTTTGCAATGATTCGGATTTCAAGCCCTTAGATCATCATCAGGTTGAAAGATTTCTACAACCACGTCTCTCGACATGAATTGCAAAAGTACTTTTGCACTTATACTTTTACATACTTGTACTACTTATACTTATGCAACTTATACTACTACTACTTATACTTTTGCAATTCATGTCGAGAGACGTGGTTGTAGAAATCCTTCAACCTGATGATGATCCAAGGGCTTGAAATCCGGTCGTTGCAAAACAACTTAATGTGAGAAGGAACTATCTTTTTAAAATGGATTGAACACCGCACTCACTCCATCATTCATCATTTCTATTAACAACATTTGGCTTGCTAGTTGAATAATTGCTTATTTGTGACCATATTTGGTTATTTGCCAGGTGTATTGATTGCTTTGACGCTTGAACTCTTTCATCCAAGAATTTCGTTGTTATTTTATTGGGATTAATATTTGTACGATCTCTATTTCTCACACAGCAGTTGCTTTTGCTTTTTTAACACAGTTGGCAGAAATTGGCCTGCAAATTGAACAATTGCCCATTCCTGTCTATATTTGATAATTTGTAGATGCATTCATGGCTTTGCCACTTGATGCTCTTTCACAGAAGAATTGCAGTTATTTTCTTGGGGTGAATATTTGTACGATTTTCTGTTTTGTTATTTGTCACCCAGGGCCGTTAAATCGAAATTGTTTTTACTTTTTTGTCACAGTCGGCAAAAAACGCTAATTGACTTATTCCTGTCTCATATTTGATATTCGTTTGTCAGATGTAATAATCGCATTGTTGCTTGAAACTCTTTCATCCAAGAAATTCGATGTTATTTTCTTAGAGTTTGTATTCGTACAATTTCTATTTCTCACACAGCGCAGTTAAATCGATTTTGTTTTACTTTTTTGTAAACTGTTGGCTTGCCAATTGAACATTTGTTTATTCGAGACAATATTTGATCACTTGTCGGATGTATTCATTATTTTGACGCTTGAGACTATCAGTAAAAAATTACTAACTTATTTTCTTGGAGTGAATATTTGTTCGATTTCTATTTACTCACAGTGCAGTTACGTTTTATGGACCAAAATTGTCCTGCTAATTGACGATTTATGTTTGTTTGATTTTTATTTCAAACTCACCTTTTACTTTTTTGATATTCATGCCTATATCTGTTCATTTGTAAAATGTATTCATTGCTCTGTCACTTGAAATTCTTTCATCGAAAAGTTCAAACTTATTTTCCTGGGGTTTGTATTTGTACGATTTCTATTACTCACACAGGACAGTTATATCGTAATATTTCTTATTTTTTGAAACCCATTTACAAAAACTGGTCTACGAATGTACAGTTGCTTGTAAATTGCATCGCTGCTTTCAAATTTTGCATTAACCAGCCCATTCTTTGTCAGGTTTCTTTTTTGGCCTAACTGCTTATTACTTTTGTACCATCTATTTGTCCTTTTGAATAGATCAGTCATTATTTGACTCAATTAATCACATTTTGTTATCATCTTATCACCCATGCCCTCTTCTAATTCTACCAGTAAACACGGTGAAATTATGTTTTTGTACTTTGATAATTTAATAAATGTGTTCGTGTTTATATGAATTTTCTCGATTTGTAATCTGATCCGTCTAACCTCGTTTGAACCCATTTTTATAATGTTTATCTTACATAACATAAATTAATTAAAACTCTTCTTTGACATGTGTGAAGTACGTGGCGTTTTTTGATAAAGAAAATCATTATATTCGATTATTCGAGTTTTTCCTCATTTGTAAATTATTAAGATTTGCGTATGGATTATGCAAAACTTCGTCTGATTTTTTGACATGCTGCTCTTTTAATTTTTAGCACTCTGGATGAGTTAACTCGTGTGAAATATCCTCTTTAGAAATAGAAATAATTTAAATCTTGGTGTCGCAAATGGACTCACACAGGCAAATTGAATGAATAACAACAATATTTTCTGTGATTCTTTCTTTTAATTGCTCATACTACGGATTACCTCATTTATTAATATCTATTAATATCTCTCTCTGCAGCGTTAACTTAGGAATAAACCAATATAAGTACGTTTTAAAATAAAATTACCAT